AGCCATCAACCTTTCAACCTTGTGTTACACAAGAAAAATAAATCTCCTATTTGCTTTAGTTGTTATTAATTGTATTCTGTTACTTATAGTGGAAAATATTCCTGACACAATTTATAAAACGTTTTAAGAAAATTTCAAAATGTCTTACATCTTAAACTGGTTTAATCCCATACTACTTTGTGAAAAACACCTATTCCATTATTTGAAAGCAAATCATCCTACCTCATTCTTCCATAGGTGATACTGTAATGCAAATGCAGTGAAGTCTCTTGGAACACAGAAAAACTTGCATTCTGAAGTGGAGCCATAAGAAATATTTTTGATTTGTTCAAAGTTTTTATTAATCAATTCCAGAATCAAAGGATCGATAAGGAACACTGGTACATTCTGGCTGGATGTTAGCATAATAAATTTTTTAACTGCACGCTGTTTGAGAGGAAAAGAATCCCCTTAATTCAGTTAAACCAATGCAACTTATTTTATTAAATTTTTATTCATCAATTTTATAAGAATGTTTGGTGTGTTTACATGCTTACTGCTGTGCTTTAAAAAAACAAACAAACAAACAAATAGGATATACGATCCTTGGTCTCAAGAAGCACACAATCTTCTAAGGAAGACAAATAAATATTCACAATACAATGTCAAATATGCTATAATAAAAATACATACAACATATTAAAAGTCCAGACCTGTAAGCTATTTTATAATTAAACATAAATCAAAAGGATAAGAAAATCTTGACAGAGGAAGAGGTATCTAAGATGAAAACTTTAGGCTTACAAATTATTCTCTTGGTATTAGCTAAATCTTTTCAAGCAAAAAAGAAAACATCAGATCTGTCAGATTTTAAAAATCAGTCATGACAACCTTTCAAAACCAAAAATCAATTGTGTGTGCCACTTTTCTTCGTATTTGTAATGCTGCTTAACCTTTCTAAGCAAAAGACTCAGACCAAAATACAGTCCTGCTTGATCATTCCATATATAGTTTGATTTTCTATTAATATTGCAATATTTTTATTTTATTTTATTTTTGGCAGCTGGCCAGTGTGGGGATCTGAACCCTTGACCTTAGTGTTACAACACTGCGCTCTAACCAACTGAGCTAACTGGCCAGCCCTGCAATATTTTTAAATATAATTCCTCTGTCCAGTAAGTAGTGTCCTCTACTGAAAAAAAAAATTTTCAAAATTAGAATGAAAACAGACTAAATCACACTCAGGAGTAAATAATACCCAAGAGTGGCAAAGATAAACAGAATAACTGATACATATTGTTGCTTAAAAGCATACTTCAATGAAAGTAATAAAAAATTTAAAGGAATGTTTGCCCATCAAAAAGGTGCTTCATGAAATTAAGAATAAATTAGTATTCACAAAATAAGAAGAAATTTCTAAAAACATATACAAGATAAATAAATACACAGGATATTAAGAATTTTAAGGAAAAAGAATGAGATAAAACTAGAAATCAGTGTTTTGTTTTTAGTTTACTATTATGCAAATTCCAAGAATATAATAATCTCAGCTCTAGAAGGATTTACTATCCCTTAGTGGGAAAGACAGCTAAGTAAAAAAGTATGTCAAAAAATTCAACAAGAAGAAATTTCTAAAAACATATACAAGATAAATAAATACACAGGATATTAAGAATTTTAAGGAAAAAGAATGAGATAAAACTAGAAATCAGTGTTTTGTTTTTAGTTTACTATTATGCAAATTCCAAGAATATAATAATCTCAGCTCTAGAAGGGTTTACTATCCCTTAGTGGGAGAGACAGCTAAGTAAAAAAGTATGTCAAAAAATTCAACAATTTAGAGGAAATGGATAAATTGCTGAAAAACTTAAAACTACTATGAGATGAAACAGAAAATCTGAATTGCCCTACTAATTAAAGAAACTGAATTTTTTTTCTTTAAACTGCTCTCAAAACAACAGGAAAAAACTCCAGATGCAGATGGTTCACTGGTGAATTCTACCAAAGTTTTTAAGGAGGAATACCAATTCTACAAAAGCTCTTTCAGAAAACTGGGCAGGAGGAAATATTTCCTAACTGATGTTATGAGGCCAGTTTAATACTTACAGCAAAACCTGACAAAAACATTACGAAAATAAGAAAATTATAGACCATGATCCCTAATGAACATAGAAGCAAAAATACCTTTAGAAAATCAATTCAAGTAATTAAAAAAAAAAAAAAAAAGAGAGAGACACAGTGATACTTCTAGAGTAGATAGCTGAGGAGCCTGATAATAGGATATCCCAGACTTTACTTTTTAAAAAGTAGTTCGAATCTAAGTGGTGTCAGCAATGACCTAAAATGATCACTACTTGGTGATCTGAAAATCCACTTTTGGGCTAACAGGTTAGCTCAGTTGGTTAGCGCACAGGCTTATAATGCCACAGTCGTCACAGGTTCAGATCCCCTAACCGGCCAGTTGCCAAAAAATAAATAAATAAATAATGAAGAAAATCCACTTCTAATCTAAAGCCTTCCATATCTCTGGTTACAGAGAAGCCAAAGATTGCAGTATATCCACAGGAAATACCTGATCATTTCCATAATGTATAATAACAGGATAAATGTAATTTTTTTATTAGTAATCCAGCACTGTTTTTTATTCTAAATTTAGTTAGAAAAAGGGTAAGAAAATATATTTCATAAATGTACAGGCTCTGAAATTTGTAAAACAAAACAAGGCCACACTGCTAATTTCCCCTCATCTTATAAAGGGAACATGTTGAATAGGTTTTTATTCCTAATTATTAATTTTTCCTTATTCATAGTTCAACTCTGATTCACACATTCATTTACTTAGGAAAGCACCATAGCTCATCGAATGAGAGTTTTAGACACAGACAGAATCTGGATTCAACAATTTATTAGCTAACTAACTTTAACATCTCTAAGTGAATTGAGAATAACAATACTGACTCCTTAAGGTTTCCATAAGACTAAATGAGATATGGCATGTAAAGCACTAGGCATTCGGCCTGCTCCTTCCCTGCCACTACCTACCCGCCTCTTGCCCCCCCCCAAGGTAATTATTACTGTCATCATTCAACAAATACTTATAAAGTATATAAACACACGAACTAAATGAATACTGTAATTGAGGAATTCCTTGATTACTGTACATACCCACTGTGTGTTGTCAAATCCAATTTGGCTTGCTCTGGATTTTGATAAACCAGCTCCATTCTAGGAAGGTAACAAAAGAACATTTTACTATTCAAAGGCCAATATGCAACATTACATTGAGAATAAGCATGAGATTCAAACTATTATTAGCTTATAAACCATTAAAAAGCATATCCAAATACCTATTTTCACACAGTCATGAGCTAAGAAGTCTACAATTTTATAATAGACCTAAATATTTTTAAAACATTATTTAAAAAATAACTCAATGTTTGAAATTACGGTGCATATTAGGAAAAGTATGGACACGGGAACCGTCTGTAAAATGAAAGTAATAATGCCTACTTTGCAGGATTGTTAGGATTGGTGTTATAAGACTGTGCTCTAACAACCCAAGATGGAAAACACTGACTGACTGCAGTAAGTTAATTAAGTTATTAAACACAGCAAAGTTTATATGGCCAACATCTCTGAACCAATTAATTTCCATCAATGAATAGCAAACTCTTTGCTATCTGTTTGGAATTAGGGTTTGTCTGTTTAGCTCTATATCCCTTACCTCAGTTTATTTCCACACACCAAATTAATGTTTGTAGACCTTGGCCAAGTAATAATAATATTTATTAAGCAGCTCATAAGTGTCAAGTACTGTGTTTGACTCTTCCATATATAAATTATGTATTCTCATATACCCCTCACAACAATCACACACTCAAGGGCAGGGACCAAGTCCAATCCATCTTTGCATAACCAGTGCCTGGCATAGTGCTTGGTAATTAGTAAATGCTTAACAGAGGATTGTTAATTGGAGGGAGAGAAGAAGCAAGGGAAGGATGAATAGACTGAGTAATTAAGGTACAGCCAGAATTGATCTCTCCTCACAAGCTCTACAACTTAGCCAATAACATTTTAACACTAAGAGATGTTTGAGAAAAAACAACAAAGAGGTAGTGTTGTAATCTTCAATCTTGAGGGGAGATTCACAAACTCTGTAATATAGCCAGCCACTTGTTGCTCAAAATAGCCCTACACTACTAGTAGACAACGCTGAATTTCTGAATTGTTTAATTTGTTGAGTTTGGGATAAGTAAGTTTCTAGTGAGCTAGCAGATTATTTTCATAATAGCTTTATTGATATATAATTCACATACCATAAAATTCACCCTTTTAAAGTATACAATTCAGTGATATTGAGCATATTTAGAGTTGTACAACTTTCACCACTATCTAATTGCAGAATATTTTCATCACTCCAGAAAGAATCATGTGGCTATTATTAGTAATCACTCCCCATTCCTTCTCCTCCCAGCTTCAATCATAACACTAATCCTATGGATTTTTTCCCTATGGATTTGCCTATAGTGGACATTGCATAAAAATGGAATAATATATGGCCTTTTGCACCTGGCTTCTTTCACTTGACATAATGCTTCAAGGTTCATCCAACTGTAGCTTGTGTCAGTACTTCATTTCTTTTTATAGCTGAGTAATACTCCATTATATAGTCATTCATTAGTTGATGAACATTTGAGTTACTTTCGCTTTTGGCTATTATGAATAATGCCATCACATTCATGTTTTATACTCACTCCTTTGCATATACTCACAACTTGCCTCTATCTGACCTCATTTTACTTGTTCAGCAAAAATTCAACTCTCCACTTATTCTTCACCTGCACCTATAAAGCTAAACATGGCTGCTGACTGGTGTCACTTTAAATTCATGACCATTAGCCTCATGTGGGGCCTTAATTCTGCCCAGCAATCATCCTGCATTTCTCGTCTATTAACTCTCTCATTCTCCTAGATGACTTTTTGTGCTCTTTTCGCTTTCTAACACCTGCTCCCTGTCTTATCTTTCAACTTATGGCATTGCTCATATTTCACAGAGCAAAAAGAGTAGAGAAAAATTTTCAAAAGCTCCCATTATATCTTCCTACCTACTAGAATTATATCAATGTAATCTGCCTTCCCTCCTGAAGTAACAGATGAACTTGCCTGCATTCCTATCTAAATCCAACCTCTCCACTTATGTACTAAATCCCATTCCCTCTTGCCTGGCCAAAGACATTGCTCCCACAATTTTTCTTTCTCTGATGGATCATTCCCATTAGTATACAAACATGGTATTATTTCTCCCATTTTAAAACAAATAACTAAAGTGACAAATAAGATCCTCTCAACTCCTCTTTTCCCAACAAATAATTTTCTGTCCCCCTTTACAGCAAAACTTCTAATAGGTTTTCTTCTCTAATTGCCTCCAATTCCTCCTCTCCCATGAACTCACCTGAGTTTAAATTCATTCTGTCAAGCGTTCATCAAGATTACCAATGACCTCCACATTGCCAAGTCCAATGGTCAATTATTAGTCCTTATCTTATTTGACCTATCAAGAATTGTTGATAACTTCTGCCTCACTGAAACACATCAATTCACTTGGCTCTCAGTATCCCCGTACTTCTGGTTTTCCTGCTATTTCTCTCTGGCTATACCTTCTTAATTTCAGTTATTAGTTCTTTCTACCTCCCTGACATATTGAAGGGTCTCGAAGTGAAGCTCAGATCTTGAGACTTTCTCTCTCTTTTTTAAATGTGTTCACTTCCTTTGTATCTCATCTAGTCTTACAGCTTTAAATACCACCTATATGCTTACTACTCCCAATTTATACTCCCAATCCATACCACCCATTTGAACTCCAGAGTTACATATTCAATTATTCACCTTCTTCATTTGGATGTCAAACAGGCACCTCAAACTTAACATGTACAAAAAAATTCCTGATCTTCACCATCCCTCAAATTTGCTCTTCCCAGTCTTTCCCATTTCAGTAAGCAGCAACTTCCCCCTTTCAATTACCTAGGCCAAAAATACCTAGTGTTATCCCTGACTCTTTTCTGTGTTTCATACCCGAAATCTAACCCATTGATAAATCCTTTCCATTTCTCACCAACTTGAGCACCATTAATAATCAAAGACAACACCATCAATAGTGTTATCCCTGACTCTTTTCTGTGTTTCATACCCGAAATCTAACCCATTGATAAATCCTGATAGTTATGCTTTCCATTTCTCACCAACTTGAGCACCATTAATAATCAAAGACAACACCATCAGAAAAATAAAAAGAAATAAGAATAAAAAAAGAAATAAAAAGAACCAATAATCATATGGAAAGATGTTTAACTCCGTTAGCAATCAAAGAAATGACCGCTAATGGAGTTGAATATCTTTTAGCTTTGAAAATAGAGACAATAGGATCTACTCATTTTGCTAAGGTAGGTAAGTTATTTAACATCTCTCCATTTATAAAATGAAGTCTAATAACCCTCATGTAATAACGCTGCATAACAAACCTCCCCAGTCTTACAGCTGGCAAGCATTTGTTTTCTCCTTCACAAATCTGTGCATCAGCTGGGGCAGCTATGCTTTGGTTTGCTCCATACATTTCATTCAGGGCCTGGGATGGAAAGGCAGTATCTGCCCAGGGCATGTTCTTCTCTTCTCCTGGCAGGTCAGGGGAGCACAAAGACCAAATCAAATCACAACAGACCATTTGAAGCCTCTGCATATGTCTGTTAACATTCCACTCACCAAAGCAAGTATTATGGAAAAGCCTAACATCAATAGGGCAGGGAAGTATACTCCCCTTTAGCTGGGGAGAGACGGGAGTAACTCTTTCTGAAGGATAACTCTAACTATGAAATGAGGATAAAAAAATAAAAATAAGAAACATATTTTCCCCAGGGTTGTGTTTAGGGTTAAACCAAGCATGGAAAGCATCTAGTACAATTCTCAATAAAGTAATATTACTATAATAACCCCCAGTGAGAGTATTTGGCAACTTTTAACAATTCAAAACTTTCTCAACTTTGGGATTCCTTATCAAGACTACAAAAGTATATTCCATATGTATACAAAAGTATATTCTGAAGAGAAGCTATTAGTTTCCAAATCATTTTCTCTACTTTTTTATTCCTATACATATAGGAAAAGCTAACTTAAACCATTACGCTTCCCTGGTAGGTACTAAAGTAAAATATATACTGTATTAAAATAGATTAATTTTTTTTTCCTCTTTGTCTTTTTTCGTGACCGGTAACGGGATCACAACCCTCGGTGTCGCGCCTGTACCACGACTGGCAACGGGATCACAACCCTCGGTGTCGCGCCCACACCACGCTCAACCAGTGAGCGGACCTGTCTCTATGTGGGATCCGAACCCTCGGCGGGAGCGCTGCTGCGCTCCCAAGTGCTGCACTTGGCCAGCCCTAAAATAGATTAATTTTGATATTTTATCAAAATTATTTATCATTGAGTTCATTTAAATGAGGAATAATATACTGAGCAGAAAAATAATTTTTACATAACTATATTCGAAAATTTCAATAGATTAAACATCACTAAAACCTGGTACCTTTACTTTAGTGTGTTATTACAATAACACTTAACTGCAATTTTGAATTGCCTGCCACACCCCCCAAAGATGAGAATTTCAGTAAGAAATGTTTCTGCAAGAACTTGAAAAACCATGAACAATTTTACGTATTGCAAAGGAGAACTATGTTAAGAAAATATACAGCTAAAAAGAAGTCAAATGATGAGAAAGGAGGAAAAAAAAAATTACCTTTGTTGATAAATAGTGCTTGTAGTAGTACAACTGAAAAAGCAGAAACACTGAACTTGTCAATGTTAATACAGCCAAAATCACGTTCTTATTGATTCTACTCATTAGTCTGCGGTGCTCACTTGGTTGATTTTTGAAAGTAACCCAGTTGTTTCATCTTTTTGGATAGGAAGATAATCTTGTTTTCTGTGAACAAAAAGATATTTCTAAAGAGACAAAAACCTATTTTTAATTTTTTACCTCTAATTACCAGCAACAGAGCAAAAAGTTATGTAAAGTTCCACAGAACATTCTTAGACCTCGTAATTTCCTATCCCAAAGAAACAATCAGATGAGACATCAAAGATGAAAGAACAAAAATGTTTGTCATGGCATTCTTGACAAATGCTAATAACTAAAACTATAAACAGGATATTTATAAAAACTGACCAACAGAGATTGGTGGAGGCTTCTTTTCCAGAGTTTCTGATTCAGTAGATCTGGAGAGGGACCTCTGAATTTACATTTCTGACAAGTTCCCAGGTGATGCTGATGCTGCTGACCATGCTGAGAACCACTTCTACAGAAGAAATTGAGAAAGTTTTTGATCAAGAAACATGATTTGTATGACAGTTCTGTTGTTTCTTGAGTTTTTTTGTGTGTGTAATCTAGGATGTGGTCAGTTTTTATAAATGCCTTATGTATGTTTTTAGTTTTTTGCAGTATAAAGAATGACATGATAAACATTTTTATTCTTTCATCGTAGGTCCCATCTCTGATTATTACTTTAGGATAAGTGACTTAATATAGTTCTACTTCTTCCTACCTTGTCTCCACTGTTTGATTTTTGTTAAATATATTTAGTTCTTCACATATTTATCTTTATTCCTTCTTACTTGATGTTTAAGCTTTATGTCTTTTGTTCTCCAGCTACAAAAGAAGAAATCAGCAAATTTATACTACTTTCTGCCTTCTCTCCTCTTTCAATCCTGACTTTTATTAGTTATTTCTACTTTGTTATAGTTCTATTCTATTCCATTACTACAAATCTCAGTTATTTGGGTCTTATTGTTACAGTGTTCCCTCCAATCCTCTTGCTATATAACATCTCTGTTCATATACTGCATGACTGATATTTATCTTCCTGCAGATTATCAAAAAGAACTTATGGGTACTACTTACCTTGAGTTCTCGCATTGTTTGAAAATAGTTGTCAACTGGCAGTTTGGCTTTGAGATCACACTTTCTTTCTCCTGATGACTTATAAGCTTTGTACCATTGTTCTGTAATGCTAAATATTCCCTTGACAATATCTGATTCTCCAACCCCTCCCCCATAGGTAACTTCATATTTTAAATAGGATCTTTTTCAAAGGATGCATTCCTTACCTGTGAAATCCAATTTATTTTAAAACTAAGGTTATGTAATAACGTTGATGACTACATATTAGGTTTTCCTCAATCACTGTGTATCCTTTCAATCTGTAAAACAAATTCCTTTTTTTGTGGAAAGTTTTCTTAAGTTATATGTTTGAAGATTTTTCTGTTACAATGTTGAATTCTACAATTAAGTATTTATCTCCTTTCATTCCCATTTAACTTCGTTCAACTTTCAAAAGCCTGTCATCATCATCATAGTTTTCAACAATGTGAAGTATTTATCTCCTTTCATTCCCATTTAACTTCGTTCAACTTTCAAAAGCCTGTCATCATCCTTTACTGAGTTTTCAACAATGTTAATTTACCTTTTTGCTTCCAATATGGCTTTTATTTCTCTGATTTTGTCTTTTTTTATCCTGGGCTCTGCCAGATTATGCTTCACCATATACTACTCTCTTACTATTTCTTCCTAGCTCTTGAGCCAATTCACTTTGTCTCTTATTTTAAAGAAGTAATTGTTTCATTAAACTTGTTAGGCCAATATGGTTTTCTCAAGGTTTGTCACTTGATTTCCCTGTTTCTTTTTTTCTTTCTCCTTGTACCATTTCTGTATGGATACTGTACTGAATTCCTTTTTGTTATTATTTATCTTTGAATGACTTGAGCTCCCCCTGGATCAGTTACCTGCAGGAGGACTGTGGAAGGAAGAAACAAGGCTGTGTTTTAGACTAGAAGGTAGTTTCTCTAATATACAAGAAAGCTCTTTCTTTTTTTTTTTTTTTTCCTTTTTTTGTCTTTTTTCGTGACCGGCAAGGGATCGCAACCCTCAGTG